TGTGTGTGTGTGTGTGTGTGTGTGTGTGTGTGTGTGTGTGTGTGTGTGTGTGTGTGTGTGTGTGTGTGTGTGTGTGTGTGTGTGTGTGTGTGTGTGTGTGTGTGTGTGTGTGTGTGTGTGTGTGTGTGTGTGTGTGTGTTATGATGTGTTCTGGTGTGTTGCGACGTGCCAAGTTGCGCTGCGTTGAGTTGCGTCACTTTGTGTTGCGCTATGTTGCGCCGTGTTTTCGCTGTGCTGGGTTGCGTTGTGTTGCCTTACGTTGCGCTGTGTTGTGTGGTGTTGTCGGCTGGAGCTACTGCGGATGAACGAAATCCTGCACCGTCTAAGACACCCCTGGAATGATGATTCCCCTGTACATACCAACAAACAATGGTTTCCAATACTTTCAAAGTGGTGCAGAACTTCGACCATCCGCAGTATCAGTGAATTGCGGGGGTGCTTCTGACCTCAGATGTCTCTAACCCACGGAAACCCTGGTCGCAGGGAACCCAAAGCCGTTACAAGATGTGAGCATTTCTGACGAGAGGATTGCAATGATTCTTTTTCGTTCAGGCTGTGAACCCGTGCATGTATGGCAGAATCAGCCGTTTGTCGGGTTCCTGACATTCTGGCATGCCTTGAAATGGGGACCTGGGTGGTTTGAGCTTGGCTTGCCCTTCTTTTCCAAGCCCTGGTGCGCCAAAGGGATCACAGTTTGGGTCCTGGACTCCTGGCCAACCTCGGCCTGCCTCCAATAGAGGGCTCAAGCTCCGGGAGGAGGATTTCGCGTAGAGACCATACCCTGGGCTTCCCAATCGCTCGGGCTTCCCATTTCACAGGTTGGAGCCGCGGGGGGGCTAAAAAAAAATCAGGGTTGCTCCAAGAGAACCATTGGGTCCAAGCCAAGTTGGAAAATCGCCGAAGAGAAAAGCCTCAGGAACTCAACCAACGGTCTATCCATGTGTGTCATGTTCATCATGGCAGGGAGCCGAAATATGAAAATGGGCCGTTCCTGCGTTCATCTACCGGGCTTTGATCGTGGCTCACATTGAGCCATCCTGAGGACCTGCTTGGCCAGCGTCGGATCTGATACAGCCCTTAATCAGCTGAAAGCTTGATACACCAATTGGCTGGCCGGACACAGCGGAAACCATAATTTCACCTCCACCAAAGCAACATCAGATGATTCAAGCACGGTTGATCCCCTACATATTGCTAGCAGGGAACAAGGGAATGCTGCACAAAATTTCCAGGATTTGCATGGCTGTGTTACTCATGTCAGGCACGCCCAGGACTTGGGCTATGGGCTAAAGTCATTCCGCGATCGGTTGTTATTTCAAAGCAAAATCACAGGGTGTCCCAATTAAAAGCTCGTATACGCCATACAACAAGGTTACAACCATGGTTAAATGTAAAACCGGCTCGCCTGTCAAAACCTAGGCCATGTCTTCCCGCTGTTGGAGGTTTGGCGACAAACCTATCAGGGACCTCAAATATGGCCTTCTGTTGGCCAAATCAAGCCCAAGGCCAAACAAGACCCTAATTAAGGGTCCTTGAAGCTATGGGAGGAGCGTGCAATGTGTGCTACCCACTCATCCTGCTCCCCATGAATCTAGGAGTAGAAGAAACGGTTGAGTTGAATCGCGGGTGTCCCAATTTGGAGGGGATCCGTCCTCTTGTCAAAAAGACCCCCCCCGCCCTACATCTGCCAGGTTGATTATTCTAGAGCAAATTCCTGGCTTAGGCTTAAGGATGGCCACGGCCCCCTGACCTCGGGCTCTTTGTGGACGGGGGTTCCGCAAACCCACATCCCGAAACCTAATCCCCACCCCGTGGGACATCACTCAAACAAGAACAACCACTACCTGCGCAAGAAAATCGGATTCTTCTCCAGGACCGAGGTACTTCACTGGGCCCGTTCCAGAGATCAAACCCCTACCTTTACTGCGCATCACACACGGCTTCCCCCTGTTTCGGGTGATCCCTGCCCATCTCTGATCAGGAAAGGTGGAAAGGCTTTGGGACTGAACCGGAAGGGGGTTCCCTTAAAGGAAGCCATCGGGGATGTGCTTGGGCTCATTCCAGCTCCTTCCCTGAGAGCCAGCAAGATAACAGGTAGGTCAAAACGAGAGCAGCTCTCAGATTCTATAGCACCAGACGTGCTACGGTCGACATGTGCGGTTTCTGGAGGACGTACGGATTACTGTGGATGGTTGCGAAATCCATTTCGCGCCACCTAAGAAAATCGGTTTTCTGATCATTCCCTGTTCAACAAACAAAGGTTTTTCATGGTTTCACTGGTGGGGCGAAATGGATCCACAGCGTCTCCCCCTCAAATTAGATTGACCATAAACACTGGACATTTGGCTTGGTTGACGTTGGAAGGGGAGCAAACAAAGAAATAGCAGTTAAGCGGGGATTTCCCCACTAAGCCACAATAAGCAAAATGTAAAGTGCTTTCCAACATCAACCATGTTGGCTCCTTTGGGAACATGAAAAGATGGGGCTAGTTAGAACCCTTTTTGGTCGTTTCTGCCAATTTGCAGGGCTTGCCGTTACAGGCTAAGCTTTACCTTTTGGGAAACGGTGTCTTTCGGCACTACTGTCAACGCCAGATCAAACCCGTTTGGTCTGTTGCCTCCAAAAGTGGACTGAACCTCAAGCAAAACAGCCCCATCTCTCAAAAAACCGCGGGCTTCGCAGCGCGAAATCCGGCACCGGCACCTGCGAGCCCCAGCACCAACAGGTAGCTCAGCCCCTCCGTGGCCCCTAGGAGCCCGAAGGGCCCCGCCGGCAAGCCGCAGCCTGCGAAAGCGCTCGGCTCTTCGGCTCTTCGGCTTGGTACTTTTGGGGAACCAAAAGGCTTCACACCGCCATTTTGGGGAACCGCTTTTGCTCCCCGCCGTAACATTGTAAGTTCTTCAACATTGCAACCCACCAAGCCATACATCATAGCTTCTGCAAAACATTAAACTCGAGCAAGCCCCCCAAAGGATATAGGTTCTCAAACATCAAATCCACAGTTTCGGACGGCTCCTTTCAGTTACTTTTTTACGCGGGCTGCGGGCCCCACGTTTGGCGGAACACCTGGAAAAGAATTTCATCATTTGGAGATTGCTTTTGGAGTTGGTAGGCCTTCTTTGGCGGTTTTAAAGGGGGGAAACTAAAACGAAAACCACCAATGTATATATATATAATATGTAGGCGGGGTCCCGGAAAAGAAGGACACGTCCATTTGTGTGACAGCTTTTGACATAGCCATCAGAATTGACATTGCGAATGTCGCCCCAAAATCCTTATATGGTTGAAATTTGACTTGCGAAAGGGTGATGTCTAAAACCATATTTGAGGAACAACAACGAAAACCCTGAAGTTGTAGGTGTCCACTCCGAGTGTGACCCGGTGGAATATGGAGTGCACCACCATGGTATGTGAGTCTGAGGTGCGGAAGACAAGCTTGGCAAATCGAACTTGGGGAAGAGTAGACTGTGTAACATAGTTTCCACACCCCTAACCTAACTGCTACCCCAGAGAAGAAACAGGTTGCCCTTCAGCATCTTTCTCATCATACCAAGCAATGATTGACTTGCACGAGGGAGGTCCGTAGCAACCAGGATGAAACAAAACCACGACAGAAGCAAAAACGAAACATGATAAGGAGCAGCCAAAAAAACAACAAGAGGGGGCCAAAGTCCCATTCTATTCGCGAATAAAGTCGTGTAGAGTCCCATTCCATTTGCAGATAGGACGGGAGGGACTCTATTCGCGCATAGAGTACTATTCTAGAATAGAGTTGTGTAAGGTCCCATTCTATTCACGAATTGAGACTCCTTATCGTGACTTTGGCCCCCCCTCTTATCGTGTTTGTTTTTGTTCGGCAGCCTCCTGGACTTGCACTTACCCATCAGGAGAATGCTTGGGTAGCCAAGAGCCGCCATGGGTCGTTCCTAGCCCCGCGATGCTTGCCCAAGAATCCCTGGAAACTTCAAGACATGGTTTGGCCTTTCTGCATAGCGAACATGGGGGTCGGGGCCCGAGAAGTCTGCAAAACAATTCTCAGAGTCTTGCAAAATTATTACTGGTCATGCTATGAAAACGACCAGGGATTCAAAGGGGCTTCCTCTTGCTTTCCTGCAGTTGCCACGAAGCCGCCTACTTTTTGTTGATAAAGTGAGTGAGACGGGCAAGCGCGGTCCTGGGAAACGAATCGCAAGGAGTAGACATTGCTCGGATCGTTTCGCTGACTGCAAAGGCCCAGGACACCTTGCGAGAGACGCCTGTAGCCACACGGCTAGCTTTCTGCGATGGGCTGTGGCTTAGGGTTCCCGCCTTTGTCCCAAGAACTTCACTTGAGCATTCCTTCAAATTGTTTCAGAGATCACTCAGACTGCCGCAGATCTGGTCAGACGTCGTGCTGCGTTGTACACTTAGCGGCAACACTGGTGGAAATCTCACGCGACCCCTGGGAGTCAAGCCACCATTGAATCATGGGGGTCAATAGAACCAGCATTGAAGCAGAAACACCATCTAATTTGGCCCTGCCATCATTTTTCTCTTCTTTGAGGTTGAACCCGGGGTGACAGTTGGAAGTTCCAAATCCAGAGCCTCCCGCTGTGAAACCTGCACAGCACAGCACTCTCTCGCAAGCGATATATGAGACCCCCAACGGAACCTCTGAATTGTTTGCGAGTATAAAGCATACTAGACCCTTGCCAGCACAAGGACCCAGGATATGATTCCTGGCACGCAGCTTCATGAGGCCAACGGCCCTTGGAAACGACGAATCGTATCGTAGCCGAACCCTCCAAACACGAAGCTGGACCGAGCACAAGTTCAACTGACAGACAAATTGTTCTCTGTGCCCTGCAAGTGCTTGGAAGTCCTCTTTGAAAGCTACAAACTTGACTTTCTTCACCAACAGGAGGCTTGAGGGCGTGTCAGTTGACCAAGCATAACCACCGAACACTGGATATCGCCACCGGCACTCCGTGCCGGAAGCGGCAACATCCCGAAACTCCAGCTGCGCAGCTGAAAACGCGCTTAGGCCGCGAAGCTTGGGTAACATAGGCCCCAAGAGACATGAGCCGCAGCGTGGACCAGGGTCCTCTCAAGCAAACTTGGTCCCAATCCGTTACAACTTCTCTGCCAAGTCAGTCTCAACAGCATGGGGAAACTACGGACGCCTGTGACACCCTCCAAAAACACACAGCAGCGCGAGCTCCGCGTTTCGGCGGACGCGCGCTGGGGCCCCACGACCCCCCTTTGGGAGATGAGGCGGTTGCAGCCGAATCCTTTAGAGGCGATACGACCCCAAAGGGAGAGGCGGTTGCAGCCGAGTCCTTTAGAGGCAGCGATCGCACAGCTTTGCATAGTGCCAAATGCCCTGCTTCAGGATCTCCTGCCCGGCTCCGACGTTGAGCGTGACCATGGGAAGGGGACCAAATGATGTCTTGTTCTTGGGCGCTTCGGATGAATGGATCTTCCTGGACTCCAAGCTACTTGTTTAAGGTAAACGTGTGGCTGGTCGCTACAGGTACACTGTCTTTTGGGAGTCTTAGTGCCTCGCTCCGATGCTTTGGCGCCGACTTAGAAAAGACCCTCATGAGCATCTACCCTCACTGAACCCAAAGTGTCTCCCACATGCTCAAAATTACCTCCTCTGAATGGTAGTTTCAAGGCAATCCACCACCAGAAGTAGTTTTGAGAACCCCTCAACATGTGACCAGTTTAAGGCACCTGGCACATCCTAAAGGCCAGAGCGTTTCAGACAATTGGCCTCTTCTGTTTGGTGAGATTCCCTTTCCACCATTTCTGTGGGCGACCTAGCGCTTCAACTAACCCAACAATGGCGCCTCACGCCAGATCCGAGTGTCCCACTTTGGTGAACCTAGTTATACTTACAACCGCAACATGGTTGCGGCAAAACCCTTTCTTTGATTCCAAAGTGGACCATCCTTATGAAAGGCAAATTTCGGTTTTGTTTGGGGCGGCACTGCTCCCCAGAGCTGCGCAACTCCGGCTCCGGAGCAGGACATCCGATTGGAGAGAAAGCGGCCTCCATCACGAGTACATTTGGCTGCCCATTTTTCTCCAGGCGGGTTCTTGTACCTCCCAGTGGCTGAGCCACCCTAGCACTGGAAGTCACCAAAAGACCTCATGTTGGCCCGGCAAAATACAAGCCCCACAGAGCGAATAGACGAGCAGGAATCATGTTCAAAAGACCCCTTGCTTCCCGAGAACCTATGGGAACAATGCTGATTTGCCAAACTGAGTAGCACAAGCCCTATTCTAACCGCCAGAAAAATGGTCTCCCAAGGCCTGGAAAATGGACCGGCGATACATCGCCCTCTCAGAGAGAAGACGTCCCGGACGCCCCGCACCTGGAACTCCGAGAAGCTGCAGGAGGCTAGAAGCCCTCGGCAACACGCTGGCAAGACCAGAAGTTGGATGGCCATGGGTCAAAATCCAAATCGTACCCCCAGTGAACATCCCAATCCCCACTAAAATATGGGTGGTGCACCTACCCCAAAATGGTACCATTGGTTTTGACCCACAGCCAGATGTCAATCACAGGACAATCACGGGAGTATGTGGCACCCATTCAAGGGTTTTAGAAAGGGGTGACCAAGTTGAGGTGTCTTCGCTTCGGCGCCTGACTGAATCAAAACAAATTGCCAAGGGCAAGCTAAGAGACCTGGAAACAGCGAGTTTATGCTACGAAAACAAAGCCAAAAGCAAAACCGTTCTTGTGTTCTTGGTGTGCCGTTTCTAGTCTTACGTCTCCCCCTTTCCAGCCAAAGCGCCAGCTTCCTTGGTGGAACCTGTTGCATCCACCAGGAAGGGGCACCTGACAGTGAAGGGCATCTCCTTCACCGCGTGAAGCCAATGCACGTCGTCCAAGATCACCACCAAGGGCCGCTCCAGGTCATTCTCTTGCGCTCGCCTCAATTAAAAAAAAGAAAAGAAAAAGAACAAGGAAGACAGAAGCCCAAAGAACACCGGAGATCCAGGAACCCCGGAAAAGCGGCTTTTCACCACAAAGGGTTTTGGGGGCTTCGTTCCCAATTTGGTGGTTCGGATTAACGGTTAACGTGGGAACTGGGGACTTGAGCCCCCGGCTTTTGTGAAACCAAATGGGAAGGCAGGCAAACGACCGCACCGACTGTACCCATCACCCTCAGCACACGTCCAACCCACCAAAACCAAACCGCCAAATCAGCCATAAACCAACTCGCCAGAAGCTACGGCGCTTATTTGTTCATGACTGTTGGGATATTTCTGGGCAGCATGTATGAGACACATCTTCGCCCTTCACAAACGCTGTCCTTTGCCCTTCTCGCGCCTTTCATCTCCGGGAGGTGAACCTTGATTTATGGAAAAGCCTCAAATGACGTAGACAAGATCTCATTTCCCTGTCACCTCACCCCGCCTTCTCCAGCATATAGTATTCATTTTAGGGGACCCAGAAAGAGAAAACCTGAAAGAACTGGATTCCCTGCCCAAAACCACTCAACGGAGGGTTTAGAAGCCATAAGCCGAAAGCAGGCCTCACTAGTATTCAAACAACCTCCTTTCGGTGTCCCTTTTTGGTCTTCCCTGCTAATATGCTCCCAGTGAAATACAGCCTCTGAATGGTGGTTTTGCAAACCTCCCTAAGAAATTTGCGAGAACCCGCAAACGCTCACCTTACGAAATCCAATATCTAAGATAGTGTCCACCGCTTTTTTCCAAATAGGATATACGATACCTTGTTTCGCCATCCGCAGTACGGGGAGTTCGCGGTCAGCTAAAACCCCCCCGCTCTCCATGAAGCGTTGCGACGCCGGGGTGGGCCCGGGGAATGTTTCTGGCTCTTGTTGCTTGCAAGCGCACGGAACCACATGCAATCATATTTGCTGGTCCAACTTGGCTCAAGGCCAGTGGAAATTTCCTCTTACGGAGTGATAAACCAACGCCCGCTCAAGCACACCCTCTCAGCACGGCACACACGCGCCCGCCAAACCATAGGAAGAATGCGGGGAAACAGCCATTCAAGACATACCCACGCTCTTGCGGCAGCTACGTGAGATCCCCTGGCTTCAGCCAACTACTGAAAGCACTTGCGGCATATAGGTCTGATTTGCTGCTTGGCCTCAGCCCCAGGGATGCTTTTACTGCACAGAAGTGCGATTGGTGGAATGTAAAGCCGACCTGAGACTCTTGGGGCGAAAAGGCACAGACCTCAGTTTCGAAATTGCCGGCAATTGCGCCCAAGCGAAATCAAGTAAACAGTAGTGGTCCCCGTTTGTCACTTAAGATCCCCCAAAGCGTGGGCCTCTTGCTTCTCGCAGAGGCGCAGCAAAAAGCGCATCAACTCGCGCCAGGTGTTGCAACAGGCCACGTGCACACGGGCCTTTCGCGCGAAGCGCTGGAAGACGTAGCTGGCACACTCCTACATGGTTTAGAAGGCTCCCCACATAAACGTAGAAACATATTCTGGGATGGCTAGTAGCAATCACTGTATTACATCTAAGGAAACCAACTGCCATCTTTCCAACAATGCAAGTAGGACAGCTTCGAGGCTCCCCAATCGTTCACTTCCATGTTGGAAGGTGCCACCAACTACTGTTCCCCTCGTACAACATAGCAAAAGGAAGATGTCGGGTAAGCATGGGATTGAAGAAGGAAAGTTTCAAAATGCTGCTTTTCCCTTGTGGCTTCAGTCTATATAAACCAATCTGAAAAGGCCATATACCCAAAAAAACGACCGAAGCCATGTTCAAAACGCAGTGGTTCAAGGGCACTGGCTCAACGGCGCTCCAGCGGCCGAGACCGCGCAAAACAAAGCTATGGCGCGAGCGCGAAAACACGGCGTCTCATGATGCGCCCTTGAAGCTTCACCGCCCACCAAAGGAAACTCACTCGGAATTGGCAACCAGAAAGTGATGTTGGAAGTGGAAAATGGATGTGCATGAATGTCGGCATGAGGGTTGACCTGCCATCTGTCTATACAGGCCTTCGGGAACGAAATCAGAGCAAAAAAAGAAGCTAGTTGAAAGTGTTCGTTTCCGGGGCTGATGATGATGTGTCGGTTTTGTGTCCGGAGACAACATGCTGTCGACAAGCACCGTGCCAAAGTAAAATCGAGGCCAAACTCTCCCTCAAAAATGTCTGGTGGACAGAACTCCCCAGCGAACTAATGTTTCGACAAAGGGTCCCCAAGCAAACATAACGATTGCGAGAGGGGCTGAAGCACGGCGATTACAGCATCTTGCAAGTGTTGACTCGGTTTGGCAGCTCATCCACCGGGCCTCAACTGCGAGTACAACGTCGAGCTCTGCAAGGTCGTCGTCAAAGCCACAGTCTGTGGTCGTGCTGTCTGTCGACAGAGAGGTGTCTGTCGACAGAGAGGTTGTGCTGCGAGGCGCAACGGCCATGCGAGGGAAGGCGCAACCCCGTCTGAGCCAATGATACTGCAGCCGCCTAATGAGTTCCAAGAATTTATTGGTATTCACGGCAAGAAAGCCGGGCCAAAATTCCAAGGTTGCATGCTACCAGCAGCATGTCACAAGGGCCAGTGGCCATGAGGGGAGAGAATGCCCTCAACCAAGACACAAACACAAAACCTGGAATTTAACGAGTCCACCCACAACACAGTAAAGAATCAAACGGGCTTCGTGCCACACCTTGTTTGTTGGCTCCTCCCCTACCCACCTTCAATCGGGTGTTGCTTGCGATGTAGTAAATCACCCTTCCTGAAAATACCACTCTCATCCAAGCAAGACAAGGAACAACAAATCTTTCACAACCATGGGTTGCAACCACGGTTGCCAAGGAACCACCCCCTTAGCCCCCTTAGGATTCCCATACGCGCGTCAAAAACTCCTTTGGCCAAAAGGGAGCTTTGACACTGGCACACACATCCCGCGCATCCACAGCTCAAAGCTCGTAGAGCTCCTTTTCCCGGGGGGGAAAAAAAAAAAAAAAAACGAGAGATCCATGTCCAAATCTCCCAAACATACACAAAGAGGTATGTCTCAAAATGAGGGGAGCCCCAAAATGGCTTCCTTTTGGCTTCCCTGTAACACCGATCAAGGGCTTTCTCCCACAAAAAAAAAGACACAGCCACACCGCGGCCTGTGGTCTTCAGCGTCCACTCGCTCCAGGCCATCACCAGCGACGCCCCGATGCCCGCGACGCCCAGCTCCCCGCCCTCTGGTTTCACCGGCGCGCCCTCGTCAAGGTTGTCTTTGCGGGTACCCTTCTTGGCATCTTTGGGTTTGGGGGAAAGAAACGGAAAACAGAGGGAGAAACTCCACCCGTTTTGAGGGCCCCCCTATTTTGAGGCAAAATGGAGGCAGAGGAGAGTGAGTGGCCATATGGCTATGAATCTTGATAGTCTCTCCCGAAGGTTGGTGGACACAACTCCCTACCCCAATGATGTCCACCAAATCCCCAGTTGAAATTCATGTGTGTGTGTGTGTGTGTCAAAACACTGGAAGCCCAAAACTATGAACTTTCCTTGGGGTTCTCTTTTCAACCAAGTTGAAAAGGGACAACACACACACACACACATAGGCATCGCTGGGTGACGTGTGTAGGCCTCAGTCCACGTTGCCATGGAAGCCACTAGAGGAATGGTTCACAAGTGTGGGTTCGGAATCCGTCAGCACATCATTCGAACAATACCTTTGGAAACTCCGTTTTTGTTCTGCTCTAAGACAAACCCATAGCCATTCTTCGCAATTCAATTGTTAAACACCAGAGAAAAAGAAACCCCAAACATGGACGCCCAAAAAAGAAGTCGCCCATGAAGTTTTCTGGAGTTGGACCCTCCTTCCCGTCCGTAGCCGCGCGCGCCGAATGCGCCGACTTCGCCCGTAAAGATTCGGGCGCAAAGCCAACGACGAAGGCCGGCGACAGCAGCAGCGCCAGAAGCGCCAGAAGCGCCAGAAGCGGTAGGCGCGAGGGCCGCGAGGGCCGCCGGATTCCGGCGCCGAATCGCGACGGCATGACGTCACAAATTTTGGCCTCTAGCGCTAAAGAACCCACTCAAGTTTGAAGTTTCGGGCGTGAGGGTCTATGGCTGACCTTTCGGATGCCATTTCTCACTCATCACATGAGTACACACTCAGGTGCAACTGGATGACAACGGCGCTTTTTTCAACAAGCTAGTTTAGTTCAAAGAAAACAAGCATTGTCCCAAGCTCGATCAAAGAGTTGGGTGCGAGGTAGGTTCTACACGGTAAGCCCAATTCTGAGCCGCAGAACACCTGCGCCTTTTGCGACTCCGAAATGGCTGCGGTTCACTTGGAGCAGGTACCCCTATAAAGAAAAATCGAAGCTGGCCTCAGGTGCCCTTTGAAACCCTATGGCTTTGGAAAGTCAGGCAGGAAACCAAGAACAACTTGCTGCACAACAATTAAAGCACAGGCAATGCATGTTCCATCCACGTGAATTCTTCGTCGGATTCCCTTGTTGTTTCAGAAGATATCCCCACCCCCCAGCTAAGGAAGGCCCAAATACGCCAGGGGCTCGGAAAACAATTGGTTGCCAATGCAAATCATTCCCCACAGGTATTCTCGTGCAAACAGGAAACCAGTTCCCCCTTTCTCAAGGGCTGAACATGAAGCTCGCAACAGGTCTCCCTGTCAAAGATTTCTCGAAATGCGGGAAGGTTTCCTGGGTGTTTACGGGTTCCAGGTTCCATTTTCATCCGGAACGCACTGAATCGGTCTAATTCAAACTATCGCAAGTGTCAAAAGGCAGTCACTCATGCTCAGGGACCCACCGGCCACCTGCCAGAGATCCTGGAGTGGAGGTGGCAAACCCACGAACTGACCAGAAATTGGGAAGCGATCTGGGATAGGGGCACCTGCTGTTGCACGAATTTGAGTTTGCCAAAGGACGCAGTGTTACCACATTGGCAACAAGTTTGGCATACCTATAAGCACCCTACACTTGGAGCTGTTCCCTACTTGGCAAGGCAGCCTTAGGCAACAGCCCTGCAGCGTCTCCCTCTCACTCACTGCAATTTTGCACTTGTCCGAGCGCACGTAGCAGCCGGCCCTCGCGCAGTAGGTTCATTGGCTTTAGCTTCATGCCTGCCACTTGACGTGTCAAAACAAGTTGGAACTCCTTTTTGGCGCGGGTTCCATCCCCAGTCAACAAATGATGGAACTTAAGACAAACTGCCACTGTATCGACTAATGGAAGGGAACAAGGACTGCTAGTGGTCGGAGGGAACGACAAGGAAGCCTGTATAAGAAGGCCGACATGACTTTGTCTTGACACAGCCAAAGTGGTCAAGCCATGAAGCTCACAGCGCTGGGTCCACTAAAGTGGCATCCTCAGATCCTCAAGATGTTTCACACAAATGATGATTTACAGGAAACATGCGACCCAAGTTTAGGGGACCTCCCAAAATTGTGGTTTTCCTTTGGGTTGTCCTTTGAAACCACAAACAAAACAAAAACAAAACAAAAACAAAAAATCGCAAAATGAGAACAGAGCCCTCAAAATGTCCCACTTAGCTACTTTGTTGGACCCAGCCAGCGAAGTGAATTGTCGTTCACTCTTCACGGTGAGCTGCTTGGGAGCTCCGAAAGTCGTCTGTGTAAACTTGAGCCCCAGGTTGGTAACCCTCAAAGTCAGGCCACCAGCTACCAGGTCCAACAAAAACTCAAGCCGGCACCTATGGCTCCCAAAATGAACCCTCTGAGGTTCTTCAAGACTCTGACCGTCAAGCTCCGAACGCGACCGGGGATGCCTGGCGACGGTATCATGTCAACTGGCTTCCATAAACATCGAAGCTTTGATACAGGTTAGGCAAAGGCTGTTCAAGCTGTGCCTCCCATTTCTTCAGAGATCTATCTGCTGAAGAGCCATGAGAGAAACAGAACGGGTGATCAGCCCGGAGCTGTGATACCGTTGCAAAACGACGCTTGATTACTTCTGAAGAGGCAAGCTTCCCCCAAGCGCCCTCAGCGAGCGAGCGAGGCTGTCAACAGGCGCCTTCCCTTTCCTGGCCGTGAGAAACTCGCCAAAGCAGAGTTGCAAGTCGGGCATTAGGAAAGCACATGTCAATCTTAAAAAAAAAAAAAAAAAAAAAAAAAACGCCTCAAAAGTGGTTCACCAAGGGTCCCGCATTAGAATTCACACACATCTTGGGTTTGTTTCTCGTTCAAGGAATCCATGAATCGGTAAGTGCGCTTGCGCAGGATAAATTCCCTTTACCCACGGTACATGGCCAACTGGCTGTTCGAGCACGGGAAAGCCAGATCCCCAGTTCCCCTTCAACCCCAGTGTCATAATAAAACCCCGGGTGGCTATGACTGCAGGGTACGTGCTGAATGTGAATAGCTGACCAATAGTTCGGTTGATCTGGTCGTGAGCCTTTTGGAGTTGGTACCCCCTTTTGGGGGCTAAAGCGAAAGCGCAAGGAAACCGCCCCCTATCTGTGTGTGTGTGCTTGAAACTGGGAGCTGGCGAGAGCCTCCCCCAAGCTGTGAACAAAGAATGGGGGCCGATCCCCGAGGACGAGCGTTAACTTCTTGTTAGGTGCTTCGATTCAAGGACTTGTGCAGGCTCGTCTGTTTCTTTTTCAACTTTTGAGGGTGGTTCGAACATGTTTGGAAAGGAACACTTGATTTGTGAGTGATATTTTGTTTGGCAACATTCCAAGACTTTAAAAGTTGGAAACAGCACCCTACCCCATAATGGAAATACACCCCAGGTTGATTGCATTCAGGTTGGTGTCCCCTTGAAGAAAATGCTGTTGACTCTTCCAGGAAACACACGCGCCAGCTTCTGTGCGGATCCGGGGTCGACGTTGGGAACCGACACTGACTATCCATTTAGACCTTCACCAACTCCAAGAAGGGTACGACCGTAAGGTTCCAACTCTTGGGAACTGAATCAAGTGCCTGGCCAATCTGCAATGTATACGATTCTTACTACAATTCTCACCAGCCTCAATCAAGCACCAAAACCAACCTGGGCAAAAGACCTACACCTGAGCTAGGAAATGAGCAAACGAATGGCCTAGAAATCAACCGGCCCACCTCAAGCCTGCGAATCCAGTAAGCAAATTTCTAACACCATGGCTTCCATGGGTCGTTTCTGCGTGTTGCCCCCCGTCAGGGTACAACCATGGAACATCGGCCCGGCCGTTCGCGTGAGCCGATGTTGTCACTTCAAAGAGGTGTCACATAGTATCATAAAATAAACGGGTCCAATGCACACATGTGATGCTACCCTCCTGGCTGCCATGGGGGAACAGTGCAGATACTTGTCAAATGGGCCTAGAGGGACCCAATTTGGACGATGAAACTCCTGAACGGTACACGACGCAGGTTATATTAACCCAACCATGGTAATGGTTTGAATCCCAGCACTTCCAAGCCGAAACCCAGGATGCGTTTCTTGTTTTCTTCGCCAGCGAAGATATCTCGGGTCCCTGGGCCGACCCGTTGACCCATACGGCCGCCGCATGTCTCGCCTGGCGGCTGATCTCTTGCAGCTTCCGCTCCGCGCAGCGCAGCCGCGCCCAGCGCTCCGGCTTCGACAGCGGCCAGTCCTCTCGGTCCCGTTTCGGTTTTCGGCCGAACGGCTCGAGCCACTCGATGGGCGACGGGTGGGTTACCCACCAGGGGGATACATACAGCCGGGCTGTAGTTGTTCACCCTTCGGAGGCTTCCTGATCGAAGCTGGCTCCCAAGATCCCTATCTTTTGGTGGGAGTTGTTTTGAACCCTAGCGCTACAGTTGCAAAGTAGATGGCACAACCTCCCCATGGTTTCATCCTCCGTGCCATCCTTCACCCTCGGACGTTTTGGCTCAAACCTAGGGGTAGGGGGTAGTTGCTTGGCCCCGAAATGGTTTGGGTCGGAACCCAAACCATTGGGATTCTACTTTAATGTCTACTCTGCTTTTGGTTTAAACCATTATGTAGGAATGCTGAATTTCGGGGGTGGAACCACGCATTTTGGCGGGCAACCACCTGTTTGCACACGTTCACACCACCAATGCTGGCTTTTGGATTCATGCTCAGGACCATACGCAGGGATGGTGGTTCCTTTTTGGTAGGAAGTCAGTTCGTCGGGGGCTTAGTGATGCGTTGATCGCTTGCCCATGAGATAGACTTTGAGTGGGGCATACTATGAATCCCTTTAAACTCTAGGACTCCAAACGTCAAAGGAACTGTATGGCTGGGAACTGGCAAAACAAGAGCTTGAGATTTGCTTCTCCTGCCCCAAAAACTTGATATCGACTTGGGGACCTCAAAAACAAGGAACCCAAAACCAAGAATCCAGAAAGGTGAAAGGTTGGCTTTGGACAAAGTCAGATGTCGTTGGAGTTGTGAGGTACTATCAAACCGATATTTGAGTCATGATCATAGAAGCAGAATGTTGGTAATTCTTCAGCCCCTCTTTTTGCTTGGTGGTGACGTCTTGCTGTGTGTTGAACAAAAACACGTGTTCAACTGGTTACTTGTTCGGAGAAAAAATGGGTGAATAGAAGGGCCAAGGAATCAACCGGCATTGAGCGCCACCCTTGGTTTCCTCCAAAGGCCTCGCTTGTTAGGGGGTCGTTTGAAGGAATTGACACAAACAGAGGGTTGGGACAAGAGGGGAGGGCTTGGATACCGATTTTTGCCAGCCATTTGGCTATGGGTCAAAACCCAAATGGTGAATTCACCTACCCCCCAAATGGGATCCCATTGGTGACCCGCGGCTGGGCTTCCCGACCCAGGAGTCGCTGCATGGCGGCAGCTCCTCGATGTCCTCCGGCTCCGGCTCCGGGCGGCTCCGGCGGCCTGAAACTGACCCATTGGTTGGGGGTGGAGGGGGTTTTGCTGAACGGCAAAGCTTTTTTGGCACGAAGGGCAGCTGCAGATTGCAGGGGCCAGTGCTGAAAGGGTGTGGACACTCTGCAAAAATCGGAATGAATCGGTGAATCGATCACAACTCCCCCCTGAAACATCCCCGCAGCTGCGTTTTTGCCCCGACTCCTGTACGGCAGACAAAGTAGGCATATCTTCAAGAAGAATCAGGTTGCCACTTGGATTCTCTTTAAACCAAACTCAAAAGGGTGCCGAGCATCAACAAAAACACTTGGCAACCAGTCCATTCCGTACACTCACCATGTGCCCAAAGTCTGTTTCTCAAGCTTGTCCCTTTGGTTTCTCTTCAGCCACCTCCAGTCTCCTGAAAAGTCCTTGTTGTTTGCTGACGCTTAGCCATGGTTTTGGTTACCCCTTTTCACACCTCCCAAAACAGAAAAGTCCGATTTGAACCAAACGGTCCGGGGACCCCGCGCTCCAGTGTCTGCGGCTTCGGAGGCAAAACCTCCGCCTTCTCCGGCAGCTTCGGCTCGAGCTCGCGACGGGCTAGGGCCTAGTGAGTGCTTGTCGAAGGGCAGCGAGAAGAACCAACCTCAAGAAGGGAGATGATACTATTACTACGCATTCTTGGCGCTGTTACCCTTTTGGCAGCATTGTTACCCTATATTTGCCGTGGTAACCTCACCATCTGCTCAAAAAAGGGCACCCTGAAACAAAGAAGCACCAATTTGGGGGCTTCTCATAATGGGAAGTGGGAAAGCCCCCTTTTGGTCGGTACCCTTCAGGAAACCTAATCACAATTTGAGGGGAAGTTTGAAGTTTGCACTTTCCTTCCCTCGAGAATGCGGAGAAAATTAGCCAGTCCCTGTGCTTTCAAATGTACCATAGACTACTGGAAATAGTGAACAAACTCTATTTCTCTCTAGCTAGGTAACTTAAAAACGAAAAAGAAAAATGGATGCCTACCTACCATAGCGGCAATCAGGATCCACTGGGAATGCTATGGCTGATTCCCTCCTAAAGGTAATGAAGCGAGTAGCCCAAACAAACCTTATACACCATGCCCGCACTTACAGTAGGATCCATCATGTTCACACACCTACATAAAGGGAATTGAGCCATCTACTTTGACCATACTGCAATCCTGGTTCCCTCTTGTAACTTGCGAAACATACCCAAACCGCACTGGTTTTTGCCAAAATCTCAAAACCTGGAATACGCATCCCCAGTTAACGACCTGCATAATATTCCCCGAATCGGTGGAATCGCTTGACATGAAACCGGCACACCGAGCCCCAAGCATGGAGCACCTCGATGAGCTTCCCGCAGTCAGAGTCGCGCCTCCGCTCAGCGTAGAAAATGGAAGCGTGCGATTTCCCTGCGGTTTCCGTTGAAAGCCACTCCAAGCAAAACCCTCCAAAAGGACACGCTGACCTGGAAACTGACGACATGCAGCTTGAGATGGGAACAACACAAAAAATATGCTTGGAACACAAATTATAACTCATTCAGATGAAACATAGTGACTGAACATGAACCTTGCGGCAACCACGCAGACAGCCCACGTTGGAAACTGACAGTTTGGGACCCAAACTGAGAGCAATGCGTCAAATAGTTTATCTCTGGTTTCATGGCACGCTTTGGATCGAAATGTTGCTTCCGATTCGCATAGATCCTTGCAGCATGCAAGGATACCGTC